TGTTGATGGCTTTATAAAATTGAAATCGACTTAAAATGAAATTTACTTTGTGAATAATTGGTTATGACATTGAGTGCTTTAAAACTGAAAATATTTGACTATAGAAATTTCTTCATAAGAAAAGCAATATGCAGGGTCATAAGTTTAAATATAACATCAAGTTCTATTTACATAAACATCAAGTTTATTTAAAATTTAGACAAGATAGAGAGCAAGAGAAAGAAAGGGAAGCTTTATTTTGTAATTCAAAATCTAGGTTGTAGCATTTTTTTCAAATTTAGATGATATTCGACCAAATGATAAATTTATAAAACATATGCTCTCAAGGGGTGTCCAAAAAAACACGATTGTTGTGGAAAGTTATATAAGTATATTGGTAAGTATACTTTTGTTATTTGTTCACCTGAGAAGCCTCTCTTGATCACCTTGGAAGTTTTGTTAGTTCTGTCATCTGTCATACTTGCTTGTGTCATGAAGTGTATCCCACTCAGTGGTAATCTTGGTTTCAATTTCCTTTTGATCTATTTAGGAGGTGAGCTTGAAGGCTTTGCCTTGTTATCTTTGTTCACTTAGTAGAAGGCCTGCTAATAAATGGTTATCATATTGAATGGATCTACACAATGGTCTGGATATGCTCAGACATTTGAGATTGCCTTTACTTAAAAAAACAGGACAGGTTTGAAATGTTTGTCCCTATCTTTTTGAGCCTAACAACTAAAGGTGCAAACTAGGTGGAGAAGAGCCCAGAAGCTATTTCTAGGAAGAAAGCATTTCTCTGATCCTTTGCTTCTGCCCACAGTGTTAATGACATTTTGTTCAGCTCCCACACTCTCAATTTCATTCCATCTGGGACGCTTCTGATTAGCAGTCTGCTCTTTGCCTTCTTAGAGACAGAATAAAAGGAGGAGGGGCCACAATGAAAGAATTAACTAAGCAATAATATTACATTGTGATGGCATCTTATGTCAATGCCAAAGGGAGAAAAGACAAGCAAACACAAAGGTTCTCTCAGGATTGTTATCAAGCACTGCCTGCTGATAATTTCAAAATAATCTTGTAGTAGTTTATCAGTTCAAGAAATATCTCCACAAACATTTTTTTATTTGATTGATCCTTATAGCAACCTTGTGAGTTTGGGTGAGGGAAGGAGCTATAATACTGGACTCCCTCCAAGAAGGAAGGGAGTGATGAATCTACTTTAGATATTTGGTGAAGTCTTCACAGTGCCTGGGATTTATGAGATTAGTAGCTTGACAAGCAGATGATATTGGAAAGGAAGAAAGTTCTAGTTTTCAATAAAGATAACAATGTGAAGAAAGAGACAGAGGCATTAAATGTATGTCGAGATTAGGAATATTCAGCAATAAGGAAGCTCGTGGTGCATGGTGAATGGGGGATGGAGGTAAACTTGCAAAGGTAAAGCAGACAAGAGCCACACCACAAAAGATACTGTTTGTCATCTCCAAGGGCTTGGACTGCATGGTTGGACAGTAGTGAGTCATTTAATGTGGTTTTTTTTTTTCAGGAGACAGCTATGATTAGTTCTGTGCTTAGTAAAAATTATTCAGAAACCATAGTTGCTCATGATTAGAACAGAAGCATGCAATTTTTTTTCTACTTCAAAATATATTCTGTTCACACTTGAGATCCAATTCCACTATCCTACCCAAGGTGAAGTACAGTTATCAACTTGCTATTTGTAAATCTCTCTTTCCCTCTCAAGAAAGGCTCTCTGGATGAAAGTAAGGGGGAACTTGTGCTATTACAGGGATAATCTCAGATACACTTTAAAAAATATAAAAAATGAATCATTTGCAACTATAAGCCCATTATTGAGAAATTAAATATGGTACTTTTTATATTTAAAACACTGTGTCTGATCAAACAAAAATGATGGTAGAAGGAGGAATGCAGAAGAAGAGTAATAAGAGCACTAAATGAAAACCAAGGAGAGACCTGGACTTATTGCCATGTGGCAGAAAACTTGCACTTTGCTGCTGTAACCATAACTGCCCCTGAATTTGCCCCAAGAGCAAAACTCCCACTCTTATGTTTTAAGCCTTCTGTGCTGGTACTCTGTTCTAAACTTACAAGGCTGGATGACTCCTAACTATTAATAACAAGTGTTAAAAATAATGATTGTAGCCTAGGGATATTTTTTAAAAATGTGTGGGTAAAGAATTTTCCTTCTTTAAAAAGCTCAATTATAGAAAGCATTTTATGCTTATTTCAAAGCACATACACAAATTTAGGAGCAGTGAGGATAAGTTCTCTGCAGTTATTTTGATTTGTGTTGTTTCCCCTTTGGGATTGTTGATAGAAATTGTTATATCAGGTTCCACATCACTAGTTATATTCCACCTTGAATTTGAGAAGTGGTGCTGGGGGGTTGAGGTAGTGGTTACCTCCAGACATCCTTTTATCCTTTCAGGGGCAGGTGAGGGAGATGGGTCCCTGATTTTATAACTAAGGAAACTCAATAGGCTAATGTTTCTGATAGTATGTTCTGTAGAAAACTAACCTTAGAGATGTTCTAAGAAAAAAAAAGAGTTCTGTACTCCAGTATTTATGGTAAATTCTTCTTATAGAAATCTCTCTGTTAAAGAATCATAATTCACATTACTGCTTTAAATATCTTGAGAAAATTTTCAGTCACAAAATAAATCTGTTTAACATTTTATTGCTTGCTGTCTACTTCCTCTTTTTTCTAATGGGCCTACACATGAATCTCAGTCAACCTCAAACATGAGGTTGAGGGCAATACCCTAGAAGGGAACAGAATAGCAGAAAGGGTCCCTGATTTTTTGTCCCATTTGAGCCAGGGTATTTTTCAGTTTCCTTTGTTGTAATATCTCAGCTTATACATTATTAAACTCAACATTCTTAAACTGTTTTGACCACAGAAACTACCTTAACCATTCTAATGGAAAATTAACATCTTGAAAACTAAATTTCTAAGAAATATACTTTAGGCAACACTGAGCATGCCAGTGTTGGTAGGATTATTTAATTTTGATTTCTTGGCCAAGAATGCAAGCTCTGAAGGTCGACTAGCTCCATGATTTTCTTAACTATTCTCTATCTCCTGGTTGGCACTCCTTTAATTGCTGACATAGGACCCAGATTCCATTAATTTAATGGCTCCTCAGAATCCTCCACTGGGTCCTCTGAGCCTGGCCAGGATACAAGTGGTGAAAGGGAGTGTCGAAGTTTACATGAGAAGTGTGGAGGGCCAGCTCTGCAGAAGGTGAACATCACTTATGCCTAACATTGTATTGGTTATAAGTCAGTCACATGGTTCTGTTATCTGCCAGGGGACTGGGGAATGTAGTTTAGGAAGAAGAAAAGGTGTGTGTGTTAAGGAAGAAGCAAATGAAATGGTTTGGTGAACACAGAGAATTGTCTCTACTATCCTGGCATTTGAAAAATGTCAGAGATTCACTTCTTTAAATCAATGCTTTCTAGTTGTACACTCTCTGTGGAAATGTATGAATTCTTCCATATAGAGCAAGGCAAAGCAACGAGACCACTCACTATAATCTTCACAAGGAATTGCACATTGTTTCCATGGTCAGGGTTGTTCTGTTTAGTCGAAAGAAAGCTCACTGGTGAATAAGGTGGCCAGGTATCTAGTTCTCTCTCTTGAAGTGATAGTTTTGTTAAGTCACTGTTTTAGTCAGAATCCTCCAAAGAAACAGAACCAACAAGATGGATGGATAGATAGATAGATTAAAGGGGACTTATTAGGGCAGGTGTCCTCAAACTATGGCCCACGGGCCACATGCTGCCCACCTAGGACATTTATCTGGCCCATCTGGTGTTTTTGCCACCGCTGCTTATCCTGCTTAGCAGCCGACTCATCCCGGGCCCACAGTGTGCACTCTCCAACTGACTGAGGGACAGTGAACTGGCCCCCTGTTTAAAAAGTTTGAGGACCCCTGTATTAGGGAAATTGACCCATACAATTAAGGAGGCTGAGAACTTCCATGATAGACCATCTGCAAGTTGGTGAACCAGGGAAGCTGGTCTGAGGCCAAAGGCTTGAGAACTTAGGGAGCCACTGGTGTGAATCCATAGAACCTGGAATTCTGATGTCCAACGACAGAAGAAGGGTGTTCCAGCTCCAGGAGGGAGGAGGAAGCGAGATAGAGAGACAGAGAGAGAGAGAGAGGGAAAAGAGAGAATTTGCCAATCTCTTCCAGAAACAGCCTCACACACATATCCAGAAATAATGTTTTACCAGCTATCTGGGTATCCCTTATTCAAGTTGACATCTAAAATTAACCATCACAATCACCTACCTTTTCTGAAGATCAGTCTTCTGATTTGTAAAACAAGAGAGATGCTTATATATTGGCTGTGGTCTCAATATAAATATTGTTATTTAATAACCAGAGTGGATATAGGAGCCAGCTAACCCTACATTGGACTCTGCAGAAGAAATCATTTAACAACACCTTTGACAGGTGTTCAGATTCTGGCAGAATTTAGAGAGATTTCTGTCTGCCAAGGCAGCTGTGTCCATTGCTATATAGTTACCATTAAGTTCTCTCTTGTACTGAGCAAAAATGTAATGTAAAAGCAATTAGAACTTAGATATTTGAGTCCTCCTTCTTCACCTGGTCACATGTGAGTTCATGGACAGTCCTGTTTTATTTATCTTTCCACTGTATCTCACCATGTATTTTCATACTTGTTCAGATATTTTCCTTCACCATTCAACAATCTCATCTGCAAGTGTTTACGTCTCTTTTGATTCACTCCTCAACTCTGCCCTATAATCTTGGTGAACATAAAAAGTCACTGATGAATATTTGATATTCTGACAGCTTTATCTTCTTCATGTATGGGTTTACCTTGGATCTCAACATTGATACCTTTTATTCTTGGTTCACCATCCCCATCTACTCCATTTGCACATGATAATGTGGCTTCAATCCCTGTTATAATCATGGTTTACAATGTTATTTCTGACAATTTTGTCTGTTTTTGTTCCATAGCCACACATGGAAACTTGTAGCTTGGAGCCACATGTGGAAACTTGTAGCCCCTATTCTGCTTTTATCCAAGAAGGAGGTGAGTTAAATCTCCAAATGTGCAGACATTTCATTCTAGGTCTTCTGCATACTTCACTGGTGAAAAAGTAAAGATAAAAATGGAATGTCAAGCCACTCATGGAAGTAAAATGGAACCCTCTTGTGTACATGACCACAGGCACCTGGACGATGAAAGATGAGCTGTTAGCTCTGGGAGATACTGATTTTATTAATCATAACTTGTCATTTCTAAGGTTTTCTAGTAACTGATAATGAATTGCTGCTAATTTTCCTACACTGTTTGTCTCAAGAAGGCAAAGAGTTTCATATGGCCTTTTAATATATCTGAAGCCTTGCTGACTCAAAGATTCTCTTGACTTGTGCTCCTCAAACTGACTTGGATGTGCTAATGTCTCCCATATACTGTGAGGACATTATTCCCCCAGAATAACTCTGTCCCATTTCTGTTTATCGAGGCAGCTAGTCTTGCTAGGTAGTAGGACCAACTATCTAATAAAGTCTCCTTTGAGACCTGACATTTTCCTCTGGGGCCACCTCCTTGAACTCAGCATGTATTACTAATTTGTGTAACCTTGGCTGGTCACAGGACCAATTATGACTGTGCACCTGCACAGCTGTTGAGGGCATGACTGGCTTGTTTAAGGACCTTCTATATTCCTTCCTGTACCACTGACCTTAAACTAGAGTTTATCTCTGATAATATCATCCTGGTGGTGGTATTCTACTCCTTTAAAGGACACATTTAAGCTACTACTCTGATTTCCATTCTCCTCTCTACTTTAACATCTCAGTGACTGGCTACAAGTCTAAAACAATGCTAGTCTACCCAGAGGGCTCTCTATTACCTATCAATTTTCAGAACAAGGAGACACCCATTGAAGCCAAACCCAAGGGAAGAACAATTAAGCTGGAGATATATTCATATATTTGTATTTAATAGATTTATGTTTATTTCCACACTCACAAATTTGAGGGCATTTGAAATAAATTCTCTGTACTTATTCTGATATGTGTTGTTTCCCCTTTGGAATCTGTGGACAGAAACTGTTATATTAGGTTCTACATCATTGGTTATATACCAAGCATAATTGTAGAAGTGAGGTTGAGTATACATGCATCTCTACTGTGTATATCTGCATCAGTCAATGATGCTGGATGCTAGAAGAATACTATTTGATATCCAGGTGGCAAAAGTTGTTAATTTTGTGGTATTTCATTTCTAGGTGTTCCCTCCATTTCTGATATCCTAGATCTTCTATTATTCAGTGATTTGTCTGGCCCCATCACTCTAGGGTTTGCTTTTGTTAGTTTTCTCATTTACCATGCTAAAATTTTCTCACAGGGCCATGGTCCTTATACCTTGTTACAGTGCAATAATTCCAATAAGGGTGGGGATGCTTCTGATAATTAAGACTTGTGTTTGGCCATTCTTGATTCAGCCTTCATACTTCTTATAGGTGGGCAGCAGGGTTCTCTGCTCAGTGCAGCCTCTTGGATTCTAATCACCTGTACTTTCTCCACTCTATCCCATAACTCAGCCTAGGGAGCACCTCCTAAAGTTCTTTCTTGGGCTGAATTAACAACGGGATTGTCACTCATTGTTTGGTGTTTTCTACCCTACTGAGAGGTGGAAATTGTCAGAAAGTAAAATTAGGAATTTACCAAATGCAATTTTTTCATCAAATTTTTTAGCTGATAATTACTATTATTAGCAGTAATGATAATAAGTTTAGAGAAGTTAAACACTATGAAATGGATACCATAAGAACCATTACAAAGGGCTTAGAGTTTATGATCAGTCCTCTACCTATCAGGGGGATTATTGTGGATGCCAAGTGAGCATATTTTGCATATGCCTCAGGGTGAGTCAGTTTGTCTCAGTGGTTCTTCATCATGCCTCCGATTGAGCTATTTACTGCAGGGTGAAGGCACATCTCCTGATTAGCGCTACCAAGACAGATACAGTTATCCTCAGTAGGGCTCCACCAGCCAAAATCAGTGTATCTCTGGTATTGGTAACAGGATACTGTGAGGCTTGAGGCAAGTATGAGAACTCCTCTTTACACAGCCAATGGTGGAATTCTGCTTTATTTCAGAGAGTCATCTGGAAAGAGAAGTGCCTCTGACAGAGTTCTAGGGGTCCTGTGAGTATCTTTTTACCATTCTGCCATCTTCTCTCACTCATTAACTTCTTGACAATGTATCTTCCTTAATCATTCCAGCTCCTTCTGTTTCTCTTCCTATGTTAATTCTTCCACCCATTGAAACTCATCTACTGCTCTGAAATGCCACAGCAAAGAGAAGTACTTCTAAAGACCATCCCCTCTTCCACTTCCATCTTACCTTTTTGAGTCACATGGTTGGTGAACAAATGGAGCAGAAAACAAAAGAGCACATAAATTCTAAAGGTCAGTGGAATAATTTCTTCAGTGTTTATATCTTCTGGATCTAAAGTGGAGCTCAAATAGAACCTGAGCATTGAAAACAGAGGTCTGAGTTGGAGTTCAAGATATATTTTACTAGCTGAGGGACTCTGGGCTTTATTATCCTCATCTCTAAGAAAGAAAAATAAAAACCTACTTCACAGTCTTGTCGGGAATTTAATGAGATAGTTTATGCAAAGTGCTTATCACACTGCATGGCACATAAAAGTGTTCAGTAAATGTGATCTATTGCTAACATTTGTAACATCTCCTTTCTCAAAGAATTATAGGAAACATTCTGTTTGTCAGACTTTGTTTATGGAAATGATAAGCTTTTGCCAGTGTAATTTTTATCTATACTTTGTTTCTTCATCAATCTGTTGATAACATGCTATTAAATATTAATAATTCATGCTAATTGGAACTAGTGTGATAAGCTATCCTTCTCATCAGTATTAGCAATTTTTTTTAACATGGCATAAAAATCTGCCTTTCCTAGCTTTAAGGTCTGTGATGCTCTAATGATAATGCTACATGAGAAACATTAGATGTGAAGTTAAACTTTTAAAAATTATCCTGAAGGTGGTAACCAATAATTTAAAAGTAGTAACTAAAACTATACAAATGAAATTGTTCTTTTCAAATGTCTGTACATTTGCATCACTTATATGCAGATATTTTACACAGAAAGAAGTGATGCAAGAAAAATACAAACAAATACTAGGTATAAACCAGATTCTTAGTCTTCCTTTATTTCCCGAATCAGATGGATTCTGTAACTTAATAGAGGTGAAATAAGGCTTACTTGCTTTTATCCTTAAAAATTAAAATAATTCTGAAAATCAAGCTACCAAAATAAAAGTGTAGATTTTGTAACTGAAGCAGTGCCCGAGAGATACATCATTGAGAAATTATGTGTCATTGATTTGCTATTGCTAATCAAATGAATGCCTAACTCAGATTAATTTCAGAAAAAAATATTACAGCTTGTTTTAAAGCAGTTTAAGTATTCTAGATGAGAATAAATAGTTTTTCATAAAAACAAAATTACCATAATCAAGTCAAAATCTGTTTACTCTGGTAAAAAGTGCTAACATGAAAAAAGTTTTTCAATAATATTTTACCAAAATGTTGTCAGAATTCCTTTAAAAACAACTCAAGTGCTCTAATTTTAACATTGGCATCATTAACCCAACATATTTATTGAATACCCACTATATGTCCAGATTTATGTTTACATATAAGATCTAAACATAGTTTAGATAGTTTAATCAAAGAACATTGATTTCACACTCTATGACACATATGTTAATGAGAACATAGAAATTCACACACAAAAATAATAGCATTACCATGATGGATTAATAAAAATGATATGCATTTTCTACATCTAGGACCTTTATTCATTATTTGTTAGCTTTTCTGTTCAGGTACTATATTATGAACTATATTTATAGCAGTGACCAAGCAGGAAAACATCTCTGCCTTTGTGAAATGTATATTTTTTTTGGAGAAGGCAGACAATAAACAAAACATGTTAGTTAAGTTTGTCAGATTGTCAGATTAGTACTACAGGGAGAAAATCAGAGGAGGAGGTGGGGTGTGGTACTGGGAGCCAGGCCAGCCCCACTATGGGGGCAGCTCTGAACCATGACCAGAATAAGGAAAGTGACCCAATAAGGAGCTCATGTAAGAGCATTCCAGGCAAAAAAAAAAAAAAAAAAAAAAAAGGTAGACACTTCCTGAAGAGGGAGCATGTCTGCCATGTTTCAGTAACTAAAAAGAAGACAGAAAGGTTAAAGTGAGTAAGGGCAAGAATAACACAAGAGAAGTAAAGGGGACCAGATTGTGCAGAACATGGTGAGCATTCAGACAGGCTTTGGCTTTATGATGAAGGAGATGAGGAGCCACTGGAAATTTTTGAAAACAGTAATATGCGATATGACCTCAGGTTTAATAGATTTACTTGATTGCTGTGACACATAACCTCATGGTCCTCAGACTGGGATATTGTATCCCTAGGAGCATAGGGTGGCATGCCTAGAGGTACACAAAAATCCCAGGATAAGTTAGGAACATCTTTCTGACAGGTAAAATTTACCCTCAAGATTATGGAGGAAATAATTACCATGTTAAGAAAAACATTTAAATATTATATAAATTATTGTAAAATTCCCATTATTTTAAAGATAAAGTGAAGCTTCAATGATATTTCATGGTTATGGCATCTCAGGATTTAATCTTATGAGTTCAAGGCTCTTGGACATCAAGAGTGATTTGGTGGAAAATTTGGGAAAAATTGTCATAATTAATGTGCTTTGAGAGTTATAACAGTGTCTTATGTTAGTGCAAAAAGTTTATGAAATAAAATAGTCAAGTATACACATTAAGGTGTACTAAGCCACATTAATTATTTATTTGTGCAGTCTTAATAGTATATTTTAAAGACAATACAAATAATCATAATGATATTTTAGAAATATAAGTAAGGTAAAATTTGAGGAATCAACTTTGTTCTTCTGACTGGCTTATTAACTGGATAAGTTACTGAAGAGTTGGCTGTGGTTTTCTCATCTATTTTATAATGGGGCACAATATAATGATAGAATAATCTATGTAATAGAACTTTGGCTACTTGCTAAATGAAAGTGTGGCTTGCAATTGTATTTTTATGAAATAGATTCATCAGGATTACAGCTTCTGGTTGACATGTATATATACATACTTTGTGGATA